TGAGAACCCCCCAAGGTTTAGTGTTTTGGTTGCATTATAAAAAACAAGATGGGGGGGGGGGGGAGGCTCTTGGAAATTAGGGGAGCAACAGAGTCTCACCTCTGGCTGGTCAAGTCCTTCCAAGATGGGACTGGGAGGGACTGGGTCTTGCTGGTGCGTGGTGAGGTTCCCCTTCCTGAAGGGAGAAGACAAAGGTTCGTATAAACCAGAGCAGGAAATATTTGAAATGCTGTTCAACTATTACTCTGAACTGCGCGGGGTCGATCGCTCCAATTATTTCTTAAATCTCGCCACTAGGATTTTTTAAAAAAAGGCTTTAAGAGTATTTGCCTGGGGTTCTTGCTTTTCTTTTCCTGTTCCCTTAGATGATTGGCTCACTCGCTTCTTGCTCCCGTGGAGCCCGCAGAAAGCAGGCTGGTGAAATCGGGTAACGTGTGTGTGTCAAAGCAAGACACCAAGCTGAAACTTCAGTGCTCGTAGGATGGGGAGACTTTTCTCTAAAGAGTTCTTTGAAAGAGGAGGTCCCCATCCCATGACGGAGTGCAAGGCCTAGCAGAATCCTCCCTACCCCACGAGATCGTTTTCAAATCAGAAATCTCAATGGCCTGTTTTCCCCTTCAGTGAGTTGTCAACGACACTTGCCTGCCGATCACTGTCCATATTGGTAACCCAGACCCCATCTGCCACAAAGATCAGTTTGTGTTCAAAATAACTGAACAGCCCTGGAAGAGTATGCTCACCAAGCGATGGGGATATTTGCTTTTGGGTCCTCGTACAGGTATCCCTCCTGTTTCAAAGTGGTGAGACTTCCTATACAGAAACAAAACAAATTCATCGCTTTAGAGACATTTTCTGGCCAAAAGACATTCACATAGAGCCTTCTGATTCAGAAGACGCCCCTGGCGTCTCCTTCCGTTGCATCCTGGCGATATGCTCATTGCGTGGCTGACCCAGTTCACCACTCCCTTGGTTCGTGGACTGATGTGGTCTCTCTGGTGACCCGCTCCAAGGCAAAGTGAGCGATTTTAAGTCCTCCCAGCTGTCGCAAAGGAAACTAGGAGGCTGGAGTTAAACAGCAGCCATCTGCAGGCGCCTGATCTAAGTTGGAGGCATTGAAGAATTGGCTGGGGGCTCATTCAGTCCCCCCCCCCCGGGGTTTTCAAACACAACGCCTCAAGGGGGAGGTGGAATAAGGGATGGAGACAGAATTCCTAGAGAAGGCTTGTGTCAGAACCTGCATCAATTTTATAGGGCCATTGAGATTTCTTCTCAAAAGGGGAGGAGAGGCAGCTAACCCTCCCCTCTGGTAAATAGTTAACAGGAAGGAAAATTAAGCTTGCTTCTGAACGGAACGAACCACCCCAACTCCCACCTTTGAGGTCCATAAGGATGAGGCGGGGCGTGAACGTCTCCCGTCCCTGCAAAGTCTTCCCCGTTCGGAACAGGACATCGTGGAGAATTCCTTCATCTGGGTTTGAAGCAGCGGCGCTGGATAAGAACAGCGCTTCCTAGGATGCAGAAGTTAAAAAGGAAGGATAAGAAGTTAATCAGCTGTACATACGGCTTCCAAGCTGAGCAGCGAATAGAGTCTGTTACTGCAACAGGCTGACTTGTGGATTCAGCGATAGGTACGAATCCAGAGACTACACGCTCTCTGCCTCCCAGGATATCTCACAGGTTTGCTGCAAACATTATGTGGATGTTGGACCCAAAACAGGGTTCTGGCTCGGAGATGACTGCCAATAACTTTGCCGGACACAAGAAGCCCTTTAGAGCAAAATTATTTTATTGATGCGCAGCAATAAAGGGGATCCCTCTATGAAAAGAGGCTCCCCGAACACCGAGAGATCAGGGTTTTTATACCTGTTGCTTCAAGGAGATATACCATTCAGAGATTACAGGAAGTCCTTCATCACCTTAACTGGGATGTCCCTGTGATCTCTTCAGTGCTGCGGACCCATCCCCGTATCTTTGTTTTCTCAAGAGATGTTGACTACAGGCGAATACTTCAAGCAGGGGGATGATTAGCTCCATAGTGGCCAGCTCTCCGCAGCCTGATTTTCCATCTTCTTGGGATCTTCCTTTTTTTAGTATTGTTTTAAATTTTGGATGTATTATGTGTTTTAGATATATTTATAGTTTTAATGTTTTCTGTAAGTCACCCAGAGTCCCCAATTGTGGGGGAGATAGGTGGGGGAGAAATC